CGTTACCCGTAAAGGAGCAACTAGCTCTGTGGGTTAAACCGGTCATGTGACAAAGATTGTAAAAAAAATAAAAATAAGTCAAACATTTCACTAATTCAATTCAATTCAAAGTAATATTTTCGTGTTTAAAAGTTGTTTAATGCCTGTTCAAATATATACATCGTAGTTTTGATATAGAAAGATCAGTGAGAAAGTTTATAATGTGTTGGGAATGCCGTTAGATACAGGCTAAATTTTAAGCCAACACACTCAAAATAGTTTGGTTTTTTTCTATATAACCACTTTTTAAATCACGATCACAAGTCTCTAGCAGTGGTCACTAGCCCTAAATTCACAGTATATTTGATTTTTTTTAAAGATTGTAAATTTTTTAGTAACAAAATATAACAATATATACAATATATGAACCTGATAAACTTCTTTTGCTAACTAAATAAATAAGATCAACTTCATAGTATATTTGATACCCTTACTTGAAATCAGACTTATGACGCAGGCATTTGATTGACAGTTATTTACTATATACGGGAATTAACCTAATTAATTAATATTACGACAATTCTCAACAAATGCATTAGTTTTAGTTTTTTGTTAATCTTTTCTACTTTTCCTGTTTCGGCGTTTCCATTCTGGTTGTGTTAAGCTGGACGCACACGCTACGGTTTTTAGTCAGCCGACTTGAAGTTTAGATTCATGCATGTTAAAACAAGAAACAGTCATTGGCATGATCTACGCGCTTATTTTTCTCGTTGTTCTGCATTGGCTTCGTAAAATTGTAGCATGTGGGCCCGGCCCTGATATATTAAAGTGTTGGATAATTTAATGTTGCTTCGATTGGCGTGCTTGATGGGCTTGGAGAACGCTCACAGCTTCCTCTACTTTAGCAGCCAATGCTTCACGAAACTCCAACATGTGGAGTATTTGTGCATTATCCATCTCTAACAACATTCCTGTTATCTTGCCAGCTAAATGCGGATGGGTTTGTTGAATGAGTGGGAAAAGACGCTCGCCCAACATTTGTTTTTGATCTGGAGGTGACGCTTGAGCCAAAACTGATGGATTTAGAAGGTCTTGATCCGGTCGTGGATCTTGATTGTCTTGATCCCGCACTCGACCGTGATTTACTGTTGCCGGCGACGGCCATGCATACCTGGTATTCCGTAATACTGCTGCTGGCATTGACACAGACCCGTATGCACCTGGTAACATAGCACCTTCATTTGGCTTCACTGGGGACGGCGAATTCCCCATCATTTCAAGATTGCTTAACTTTTGAAGTATTTGTGTCATCGTAACTTTAAGTTCAGCCACATTTTTATTGTATCTGCGAAGCAGATATATTGCCATCGTGCGCGTACCGGAAATTTGTAAGCGTGCTCATAGCCAATCAACGACAGCTTATAGATGAAATGACGTAATGATCCTAATTTCAAAATGGCGGCTTACTAAAGTGTGAAACAAAAGGCAATTTGTGAATTTACGAAATCAAATGCAGTTTAAAACAACGTCATTTTACTAGTCTGAATATGGCAATTATACGCAGTGGAAACGAAATGATTTGCAAATTTGGACAAGAAAATTATTGACTAATGGCATTGAGAATACTATTATGAAATTATGAAAGTAATGATTCTTCCACATGTTGCCGTTGTTGGTTGATTCTTCCACATGTTGCCGTTGTATATCGAGTTGTAAGTGTTGATGTTTATGTACTTCTCAATTTAACATTTTCATTGGTGACTTAGTTAATATAGATTAGTTGAATGAAACCAATAGAAGGCTAAGAAGGCTATATAAATATTTCGTAAGGTTACATAATTTCTTTATCAATGATTATAACTATAGACAATTGGTGTCTGCTTTCATTACAGACTTTGATAGATCATTTTTATACAAATTTAGCAGAGTCAGAAGCTAAGTCACACATATTGGAAACATTTCTCTTAAAGCACTTTTTAGCAGTATGTGCATTGAATGCTTGCTTTCATTAAAGCAAGGCAAAGTAATAGTGGCTGCATAAAGAGCAGAGATTCAGTTTAGATTGGAATATCAATACTTATAGTAACAGTTGCAACCAGTCATAATTATTAACTATATATCCTGGACGGGGTGCTCCCTTCTTCATCGACCCTGATTTCTGCAACTGAATGTCATTGCCAAGAACACCAGTTAAGCAATTTATATCCCCCTTCACCTATCCCATACTATGTTGTCTTATAATCAACAACAACCATATGTCATAATGGGATCTTATTTAATATAGCACACAATGTACAAAACTAACATAATATTCTGTTTAGTGGATTTTCTTCCACGACAAAATATTATTGCATGGATCTGTTATGCTGAATTATATCATTCTATTCAAGAACTATATTATCAATTATACTTCTAATTTCCATACTTGTCATCATTTGTTGCTGATGAATGACTTTCAATATATGACCTATTTGATATATTTACTAGGTATAAACAGTTGATTTGTGTGCCATCAAACCTGACTATGACATTTTCTAAAAGGAAATAGATTATATTTAAAAACAATTATAAACAGCAGAAATGTTGATGTTATGTATCAATTATGGTATAAGAAGGCTTCCAAAACTCTGCAAAAGTTAACACTAAGACATAAACTTCTCCAGCAATTCCTGGATAGTTATTAAGTACTTGTTTTTCAGTAGCTGATCAATAAGCGTTGTCGATGCTACTGTTGGTGTGTTATCATCGCTGTTGTTGTTGTTGTTGATGTTGATGTTGTTGTTGCAGTTTTTGTGAAATTTTCCTTGTTTGCTAGTAATCTGTTTCAATAAAATTAATTAGGACTAATGTAGTAATAATACAGTAAGTTTATGTGTTTGTAATTTTTGTCACTGAAAAGCCCCTTCAGGGGAGTGTCAATAATGTCAATGAATCAATTAATCAACAATGAACAACAATGTATATTGGCACCACCTGTTATCCTGACAAGTTCTATGCATCTACCATGTTCTCGCATGCCTGCTAAAGTTTATTATGAACTATCAAGAAGATTTGGAACCCGAAATGTTTTAACAAGAACACAGAGATGGATTTACTGGGGGGGGGATGCACCCCCCTAGCCCTGGCCAGAGGGGGTGCAGGAAGGGGTCCTATTTTTCATGATAAACAAAAAATTATTAGAAACAAAATGAGATACAGAAATTTGAGTAATAATATGATGATAGGCAAACTGTGAACAACAATTACAATTCAAATACTGTAGTCAAGCAAGACTTTGCAATAGTGAAGCAAGTTGATGGGTGGGTGGCACACATGACCGACACAACTCGGCACCAGAGCGGACAGAGTACCCCCCCCTATCAGATCATGCTGGATCCATCCCTGCAAGAACATTATAAAATTAAGATGATTCAACAAGAACATCATAAAATTGAATATCATCTTTGTGACGTTATGGACGGAATTAGTTTCTGCAAGTTGAATATATATCAGCCATTTTATTTTTCTTTCATCTGACATACTATAAATCTAACTTTATTTAACTGGTCAACTGTTAAACATCAGTCCCTTAAATTTTTTTACAAGCTACTGAGTGTTGATTGAAGCCTTGGCAAAAGTGCAATCACCATGAGCAGATACATGTACGCTTAGCGTACCTATTTTTTACTTTGGAAAGATTTTCCTTTACATATTTTACATCTTTCTTACCTACTTCGAACTTTTTGAATTCTTGTTTCATATTCTCCTTCAAGACTTCTACTTTTTCGCTAGTCGTGTTATTAATTTCCATTAAAACCCCAACAAGCTCCTGTATCTGTCCACAGTCATGACATTTCACTCTCCTGTATTCACAAACTTCAGTCTCGTGATTGACTCTGTCTTGTTTGTTAATCTCCAAACCACATTCTTCGTTTGAATACAATACAGGAGAAAAACCACAATTCAGAACATGACTTTCCAGAGCTTCGAGACGGATAAACTCGGGACATCCCCGACTAGCAAAGTCACACTTTATCAAGGGTGTGTAGTAGCGAAGTAGTTGTAGTTCGCTACTGTAGCGAACTACAATTTTCAAGTAGCCAGTAGTTTTTCACTACTTTTTTAAAACAGTAGCTGTAGTTATAGCGAACTACATTTTGCCTAAAAGTAGCCAAGTAGTTGACTATTTTTCAAACAGCGAATCGCTATTCGCTACTTTTTAAAATTGTTAGCAACTTGATAGAATAGCATGATATTGAGACACGGTTTGCTTAAAATCAATACTCAATAGTCAATTTGCACTCCTGAACATCCTAAACACAAAAAATGTTGCTCTGTGTTTACTGTTGCTACTCGTAAGTCGATTTGTTATAGATGGCCATAGATTACATTACAGCCTGGGTTAGTAGATTCTCCAAATATAGTAAAACTAAAAAATATAGTATAGCGAAATAGCGAAATTGTTCGCCTACATTTTTTAAGCAGTAGCTGTAGTCAGTAGCGAACTACCTTTGTTCAAAAGTAGCAGTAGTTGTAGCTGACTACATATTTTTGAAGTAGCTGTAGTTATAGCGAACTACAAAAATTTTGTAGTCAACCCACCCTTGTGATTAACTAACTCTTGTTACGTTCTGCAATGTTCCACGGTGCATGAGTATGCAGTACTGTGCACAATACACTCAATATACAAACTCAATAAAATAAAAGTTAATTAATAAAAGTTGATTTAATTTAATAAGGCTGTCAGAACATGTACATCCGTTTTTCTTTCCATTGTTACATGAACAAAATTGTAAAGACAATGGAAAGCAGAAGCACAATACTGGCTGTTTGATGAGAACTTCTAGCCACAGGATCTGTTTGAGCAAAAATACGAGTTGGTCCACCACTACCATTTTTAATCTTCATTGCATGGTGACGCATAGACGATCGCACCACTGGTTGGAAGTTTTTCGATATTTTTGACATTTTCCAGACCAAACAGTTCGTCACCCAATAATATTCGATGTGCGAAGAAGTCTTTGCTTTGGCCACGGTCAAGAGAACGAACATCCAAACCAACACCTTTGATTTTACCACTATCAACAATCCACTGGGCAGCGTCCTTGCCATGCAATACCTGAAAACAACAACTACCATTATTTACAATGAAAATTGACATACTGCACATACGGATTAATACATTGTTAAAGCAGAGCCAGAGGATTAGGCCAGACTTCTTGTATTCATTGGTTTATGGATTTGACTAAGATTTGGCGGAAAAATTTAAAAGAACACAAAACTGAGTAATCGGTCAACTCGTTATGCTGCTCTTAGATTATCCTTACTCTCGGTAGCTGCTCAAATTTATGGTAAAAGCTGGTATGTCCTGTCCGATTCTCAAAAGTCTAAAATATTTTTGTCTGGTTCAACTGATTTGAGTATAGAAAGTAATAGATCGGTATATTTATGCATGTTCAAAAATATATTAAGCAAACTAATCGTTTTTCTAAGAATTAATTTATTACTTTGAACCTTTAATTGAACCAGCTTTTATCACTTTTGTTGGGTTTTTTCCTCTTTCTTTGTAATGTTCGTCTTCTCATGTTGTGTATATTATTTAATTATTTGTTAAATGTAGTGTGAGCCCCTCGATGAGCGTCCACGCTCTTGGGTAAACATTAAAGTTATTAAATATGTTTATATAAAAAAATAAATAAATTAATAATCTCTATTTTTAAACTTGCTACTCGGACTGATGTTGTCTTGGTTGTTTGTTTGTGATGACTTGAGTGTTTCTTCAAGAAAGAAATTCCCCGATAGTCGTATTATTATATTTCACTTGTCTCAGTTTTTATCTTCTAAACATTTAACTTCTACCTGAAAAAACATGGCTAATCTCCATATTGATCATACCAGTATTCCACAACATTGAAATGAATATAACTGGAATTGGAACGCTACCTTCAGATAAACCAACCTCGGTCCCAGGGTCTTTCTTCCTAAAGGCCCTGGGAACGAGGTTGCAGATAAACTGCCTATCCGCCTCTTGAAGTCAAGTCTTGACCCCCAGACGACTCCGGGGGTCAAACCCGCGTGTTTACATCATAATTGATTGAATATTGAGCGCTCTTTGCATGCGTGAAAAGACTGGGACTGGCCTTCAAGTTTGGCTTCAAATGTCCGGTTGGAGGTGGCGTTCCCGCATTTATTTCAATCACCACAACGATGACACGAGTCAGCAGTACTTAGAGTCTAAGTTCATTTTGGCGTGTACTTCATGTCAGAATCCCAAAACTAAAATTGTAAAATTGTTGTGACCATCCCAATTTTTTTTTCACCGTTTCTGAATTTTCACGGATTCGTGAACCAATGAAAAAAAGTCTGGCTTTATGAGACATATACTAAAATCCGGAAACCATTTGACTCTAGCAAGAAGTGTCTTGACTGGATGTTCAAATTGGATACCAAGGTTGAATACACGAAATTCATTGTCGTACGCCTGGTCGTACGTCACTCGGCAAACGTCAAAGCGTCTATAATGGCCCATTTCCACTCAAGAAAATTTTCAGCGGAAAGAAAATTTTGTAAAATGTGATTGGCCGACACAAATTTTCCGTAGGAAACTGACTGAATTTTGAAGTTGAAAATTTTCAACTTTTAACAATGACATTTTCGGAAAATTTTCTGTCCGTGGAAATTTTTCTTGAGTGGAAATGGGCCTTAATGGTCGGGCGACGAGTCCAGTGGCGTAACGCTCATAAGGTTGGATTAGGAACATGGCCACCAGCTATTTTGGTAAAAACTACCTTTTTTAATTATTACGGTTTTCCCTCAGAAGTGAGACCTCTGTATGTAAGTACTCTGTGATAAAACTGAGAGGTATAAATACGTAACTACCAAATATAAACATTAAGTTATATATTAATATTAATAAAATAAATAATTTGCCTTGTAATTAATTTCGCGACACTTTTACGCTTATTTTCGCGAAAACAATGTAAATAAATATTTTAGGGTCTTCGTTTTCGTAGTACGAAAACAAAAATGGGTCTTCGTTTCACGTAGTGGGTCTTCGTTTTCGTAATTACGAAGATCCATCTTAGGTCTTCGTTTTCGTAGGTCTTCGTTTTCGAAACACCCAGTAATTCGCTGGCGATTCCTTCGTTGATTGCGATTAAAAAATAGACTTTGGTGTGGCTATCAATGTGAGAGTCAAGATAGACGGGGGGCCCGTGTTTACCAATTTGTCCCGGGGTCCGTGGTTGGCTCTCGCCGGCCTTGAAGGTTTGCAATATTTTCCATCCAGCAAACTGACCTGATGTCATTTTCTCAAGATAGAAGAGGTGTTAAATGGCTATGTAACTAACCCAAACCCTACCACTACTCTAACCCCTTACCAGGGCTGCCAACCCTGGAAGTTTTCAAATCTGGAGAATTGATATTCCATTAAAATCGATGATGTCACGTCGGAAATGACGTCATTATCAAAAATTAGCGAAAAAGTTTTTGCCCGATAAGTAGCGAAAAATTTTTTTTCGGAATTTGTTTTGGCGCCCCTCCCCGTCGCCAAAAAAATTTCGGTCCGTGTACCATTTTAGGGGTCAAAAGTTTTTTCCGGACATACCAAAATTATCCGGAACCTAACAAAAATTTCGGAAATATCACAAAATTTACCACAAAATTGACAGAATTTGTCCAATTTATTTTTTTAATAAACCAAAATTGCCCGACTGTTCAGCGAATATTGCCCGACTGCCCAACAAACTCCCCCGCCCCCCAAGGTACGCCCATGTTCACATATTATGTACTAGTTTAATAAAATATCGACATCTTTTATAATGGCGTCAATACTGGTAAAATAATCCCTGTAAGATGAAGTGTTTATGGAAAATGGCGCCATTCAACCGCTGATTAAAAGCAACGCAAAATTTTTCTCGCAAAACGAAGTTCTAATGAGCAACGCAAATAATTTTTATTGTTAAAATCTTTGACACAGAATAGGAAGTTATACTCGAGCAAATGTTTGTCCGCGTTTTTACAAGCGATTCGTCATCAATCACCACGCCATCCTGGCTAGTACAACCGGCACTTTGTACCTACCAAATCCTGATAAAAACTTCCGGCTGTACTAGCCAGGATGGCGTGGCCTGACGTGAGCGAGTTAAAAATTTTCGTGGACGTCAAACAATAAGGGAAACGACTAGAGTTACGCTTCTGGTATAACTTCCTATTCTGTGTCTTTGATAACGAAGAATCAAATGGCTAGTGCATAAATCGACGTTGGTGATTGTCCTAATCCGGGAAAATTAAGACAAAATCTGGAGACTGGGAGATTAGGTCCAAAATCTTGAAACTCCCGGATAATCCGGGAGAGTTGGCAGCCCTGCCTTACCCTAACCTCAACCCTAACTCTAACCACGGTTAATAGAATCTAATTCTATTAACCGTGCTCTAACCCTAAACCGAATTAATAAAAAAATCCAAAACGAAACGACTTTACAAAATGATGTTAATAGGATAGGCCTAGGACTTGGAAAACGTTTTGCTCTAAATGTCGTTCTTGTTTTACGTCCTGTTGTTCGTAGAAGTGCATGTTCTGAGTTTTTGTACGAATGTAATTATGTAATACCGTAAATATGTAACTAGCTATGTATTTTGTTAATTTTATAACCGTTTATAGTATAGTATAGCATAGTATAGCGTAGTATTTTCATGTATGGCAGGACTTAATTTGGGACTTTATTAGTCCTGTTGTCTGTGCCTTCAATTTCTTATTGTAAAACTAATAAAAAAAAAAAATCGATTATCGATTAGGGCGGTTTGCTGGATGGAAAAAAATGCTAACCATTTTTACAAATAAGAAAGGGAAATTTTGTTCATAAGTTGTGGAAACACAGAGTGGACGTCATTGATGAATGATAAGCAAAGCCATATGTATTTTGGAAATATTGTTTTTGTCGCTTCATTTTACATCTTATAAGGATTTATCCCAGCTGTACGAACGGAAATCAACTAATCTCAGGCGTAGAAGAGATCGTAAAGAGAACTTTTACCTTCATATTTGACAAAGAAACAAAAATCCAGGGACAAAATCGACAAATGCTGGCATGTACTTCGTATGACAACTACTTCTTTGATATAAAGCCACAAATTTTCGGTGATTTCTCAGTCAAGCCCTTCGTGAAATGGGCTTTTTGTTTTCCAAGTTATGCAGTCTGATCTTCTCGTCCGAAGGTGAGTGTTGGTTTGCCATGGTTGTACAATTTACCATCTCGTTTGTCTTTGTGAACTTCCTAAGATTTGAAATTTTATAAATATGAATGGCGATAATGCCGAACTGAAATATTGTGTAATTTGACTTGAATAATTTAAGCTGTGATAATGTAGTTCAGTTGATTACCGCTATGACGCTATCACAAAGGACATGCCCCTCTAAGCTATATTCTTTTTCTTGATAAGCCAAATTTTATGAGACTGCATTGATTTAAAATCAAAACATAACTGATGGCAAAATTCCTTTAGTTAAATGCACTGTCATGTTTGACTACTAGCAATACTGTAAGGGTGCTATGTCCAAAGGCAACAGCTTCTGTTACTTTTGGATTTAACAGCACTAATTGGGGTCTCTACTTTCGGGGGACTCAGGCACAGCTACTCTCAATACAACATTTTCAGGAAAGTCAGAAATTTCAGTTGTTACATCAGTGGTTATATCGGTGTTATTACATGAGGATACCTTATTAGATGCCGATCTACCTTACAATTTTTGCCATGGTTATTCATCTGACAATGGGTCATTCCAGAAAACATCCATACCACCCCCGCAGAGGAAATTGGAAGTGTGGAAGTGAACCCCCCTACCCCCTTCGGATGTCCTAATACATTTACTATTATCACAAACAATTTTTTCTCCCCTCCCCCTCCAGACGGCAGAAATTTCCTCCATGGAGGGAGTATGGATCTTTTCTGGAACGACCCAATGTATCCCAATGTCCTACGGCTATTAATCTGACACTGTATTATACTAGAGGTGTGCATCAGATCAGATTGGACGTTTATAATCCGACAATTGCCTAATGTTTAAATCCGATCCGAAATTGTCGAATCCGATCCAAGCTTTGATAAAGAATTCCGATCCGATCCAAAGAATTCTTTAATAAAATAAATTTCTCACTCAAGTTGAAATATTTAACCAAATAAATATAAAAGCAAGAAATACATGTCAAGAAGCTGACAAAGTGACGTCCAATGGAAGTACAGTATCAACCGTGATGATGCTTTGATAAATGTGTGGATAATTCATTCTTATGATAATGCGTGGATAATTAATTCATTTTATTTCGGATATCAAAGTCCGATCCGAAATTAATATTTTGGTTCCGAAATCCGAACGAATCCGATTGGATCGGTTTCGGATCGGATTTGCACACCTCTAGTACATACAGCATTCATGTCTTTTTGAACCTGTTACACACCCTACAAGCACTCTTACATATACACTTGAAATTCTACTGCCGGATTTTATTTGTGTGATACCGCTTGTTTTCTTGATAGGCCTGATACAAATGTTATTAAAAGTTTGTGTACAACTGCTTGATGGTTGTAGCTCTGATTGGTTGTTTCTAGCATTATCATGCTATATTTAACATATCGTTTTGATTGGTTAGTGATAAATTAGATAACGATATATCTAGTGGTTGAAACTATTATTAGATTGTTGTTGTTGTCGTTATGTGAAATTAAAATTTCTCCTGGGGCATTTTAATTGGATACTAAATAATAAAATTTTAGTGTGGGTGGAAAGCAACTGGATCAAGATTTGTATCAGGCTGTGTATATAATACAGAGCATGGTCACAGGTTACTAAATATTGGGATACAGTGTTGGACAAATAACCACAGTGAATGTGTATATTAATTTCTTTTTCTTTATGACTTTTGCTTAATACCTATTTCAGTCGGACTGAAAGCTTTATGGACCATTGACCTACCCTAATGTGCTCAACATTGTCAATTCCCTCAGACTCTATTACCAGATCATTTACTGATAAAATGCAGCCAGGTGTTTATGTTTTATCCAGAGTGTCTGCCTGTTTCTCTTGTTAATCTAATTATATGCTCAATTTTCCCTAAAGTTGAGTTTGAAATAAAACGATTTCAAATTCTCCCATGCAAATAACTTTGCTTTCCTCTTTATTTAAGAATTTTAATATAATAAATAGAGAATAACACATGGGTGCACGGAAATACCAGATTTATTTTGAGTGTTGAGCATGATATCTGACAAGTGAGCACAGCGAACGAGTGAGATATCATGTTCAACACGAGAAATAAATCTGGTATTTCCAAGCACCCATGTATTTTTCTGTTTATTATATAAAGGACAGTCTTTGAAAAGCGATCATTTTTACAGAAAAGCGATAATTTTCACATGTGAGATTATCACTTTTATCAGTGCTTGAAATCTCTATAAAGCACTATACTTTATATAATAAAAAAGGGTAATCAATAAATATGCACTCAAATTATATGCATTATACACAATGATCAGTTTTTAAATCAATTATAAAGCAAACAATACATCAATATTTAAAACAATCTTACTTTCATTAACATCGGCATCTTTGCACTTTTCTTTTAACAAGCCATTTGGCTTTTTTTTCTTAAAAAAAGCTTTTGAAATCTACAAAATCTTACAAAAATGAAATATATGTGCAAGAAATGTTGTCATTTTGCTGTTGTCACGCAGTCGTTACAATGCAAATTTTAAATTTGATGTTTGCTATTTGATGTTTGCTATTCATGACAGTCCGCTATATTTTGAGATCAGTGAGGATGACCACCCACGAATGGTGAACCATAGCTATGTCCCCATGATTATTGATGAACTTTAGACTTCGCTAATGCTTTCCTTTACCCAGGGAGCTATGTCCCCATGATTATTGATGAACTTTAGACTTCGCTAATGCTTTCCTTTACCCAGGGATAAATAGCCGTGCGGAATTAGTACCCTCACCCCAGGCTTACGCCCGGAACACCGCTCCGCGCTGTTGGCTTGGGGATAATGTGCCCTAGAATCACCCAATGCAAATCTTGGCCTGGAAATATATTTATTTAAGTACTGCATGTAAACATAAAACTGTACATACTGCACTATACATCTCAATTAGACTTTTAAATTCCAGTGGTGAGTGCTTACTTACTATCAAACTGAGAATTCTCTTGTAATCAGATAATTACTCGCTGGGGCGCTTGTGCCCGGGCGAGTATAGGTTTCGGCATGCATTTTTCATGGCTCGGCAATCTCAAATAGTGGATCTCCAATCGTCGATAGCCACAAAATAGAATATTAAAGAGCTGCCTAATAAAACCCAATTTATCCTTTTCAAAATGGCGGGCTTTCGTGGAGTGGGCAAAATGTTTCAAACAATTTCGTTAAAATTTTCAATGTATTGTACCTGTTTTCTATGGATTTTGCATTGTGTCTAACTCTGGACATTCTTGCTAGTTTAGTTAATGTACAGTATTTTTCTTGGTGCACGGCTCTAAAAATCCGAAATGTACGTGGATCCTCGAATTCCAGTGCACGATCATATTATCACTGTATACTGAATCTGAATATAAACGAGCTGAAGACAATTTCAAGGTAAAAGGTTATAACTAAAACTACACAACGTAGTTTTAATAGATAACTACTTGATGAGAAACATATTGGTGTCATATCAATATAAAATTTATCCAACAATAATATGATCACTAATAGTTATAAGCTGTGGAAACGTGAAAACTGTAGTGTGAAATATATTGTATTTGTAATGCCTTTTAATTAATGGCGCAAAAATACCACCGTTCGATTTAGCGTAAGAAATTGTACTTAAGGATGTCTGAAGTATTACCAAACAACAGTATTCTAGCGATTTATGGCCTTTGAAAATCAAGCGAAATTGTATTGTTGACAAATCGCTCGCAGTACGTATTGTTGACAAATCACTCGCAGTACGTTTGTCTTGTATTTGTATAAATGCCTAATGGCGCAATAAGGATAAAATACCACCGTTCGATTCAGCGTAAGAAATTATACTCACGGATGTCAAATGTATTACTAAACAACAGTATTCTAGCGATTTATGGCTTTTGTCTTTGAAAGCCAAGTGAAATTGTATTGTTGACAAATCGCTCAAAATTATATTAAACAAATTATAAAAAATGCATTTTATCCTTGATAACTTTAGTATCGTTGGTTTTCTCTTTTTCGTCCGTATACCAGTGGATTCGTCTCACTTCTCTCTTCATTTTGACAGTATTGTGAGCCGAAAAGCTCCAAAATAATTTATTTTGAACGTTTTAAAATGCACCTAGCGAATTTGAGAGCGGCAGCACTCTCCAAGAGGCAGCACTCTCTGAGAGCGGCAGCACACTCTCTGACAAGCAAAATCGACTGGTATGAGACATTAAAATAATAAAGTATATAGGGGCATTGCTATTGGGGCACAAGGTAAATATGGTGACAAAGTTTGGTTTTCATTTGTATAGCCCCAGCGAGTTAACGCTCTATAGAGCGTCTTGTTATTATTTGAATTTGCACATTATTTTCATTGTTGATTTTATTAAACAGGTGGCATTATGATTGTTTTAATTTATTCATTTGTAAACAATTAGTAATAATTATAGCTTTTGGCAAAGAGACATATAGTATGTCTGTTAATCTGTTTAAAAAAAGAATGATAGCATGTGTTATTAAACTTTGTGTTAAAAACACACAATTTTGAAACACTTTACTGCAACATTTGCCCATTGCATTTTTAATCACATCCTCATTACTTGTGTTTTTTAATGCATGTACACTAAACCTACTGATAGATATTTTAATTTCATTCTGTAAACACAACCACCTCATGATTGTCTTCAAAAATAAAGAGTGAAACTAATTTTTTAACTCAAGGAATCTAATTTTGTGGAATTTCTCAATTATTTCACTCTGTCAAGGACAAGGTGATAGTCCTGTTGCAACAGCTTTGCTATCATTGTTGGTTTTTAGTTTTACCCAATGACGAATAACAATGCAATTATCTTTAATTGTTTTATAAATAATATTTAAAAGTTTTATTATGATTTGAAATCCACTATATTTATGCCTAGAATATCAAAATATGCATAGTTGTGTTTTGTATTTTAGGGCTTGTTTATATGGAAGCCGGGCTGGCCCACTTAGCAAGACAGCCCTGTAAGCGGGATGAATTTCTCTTGTGTTTTTATGAGAAAATTTCATCCTGCTTGCCGGGACGATTTGTTTTTTTTTACATTGTTTTGACAGTTGTTAAAAATAACTTGCGGCAGTATCTTTGAACTTTCATCCTGGCAAACGGGCTAGCCCGCTTGTGAGTGTTTATATGGAGAAATTTCCATCCCGGTAAGCGAGATCTCGGCTCTTTCAAGCAAGATCTTGGCAACCGGGCCAGCCCGCTTGTCCATATAAATGCATGATAATTTTTACTATCAAAATAACTACACAGCGAGATCTCGCTTACCGGGATGTCTCGCTTAGCGGGCCAGCCCGGCTTCCATACAAACAGGCTCTTATAGTATATAGTAACTAGGAACTTTGTGTATGCTTAGACAATTTTTTATTTCTTTATTATTTTATTTAGAGCACAAAGTTATTATAGTTGGTTTAGATAATGCTGGGAAAACTACAATACTTTATCAATTGTAAGTTGCTTAATTAATTAACCTTTTTTCTAGTCAAAAGTAGCCTCTTTCGCAGGCTGTGTACATCACTATTTTCAAACCCTTGAGAGACAGACTTGAACCAAGTCTGAAGGTTCTTTTCCACTCATTGCAAAAACCAACTTCCAAAAGAGTACTTTTGTTGTAACGGATAGACTTAACATTTGAACACATTTAAACGATGGGGTGAATGTTGTAACATTACATGAAGTACTAAGGGTTACCTGTATTGGGAGCCCGCACTCGAGTGGTACATTTGTTTATATTATTTTATTTGACCGCCATGTTTTTGTTAGTAGGCAACTATTTAAGTTTAAATAAAGTTATTTACTTCACAACAACTTTCATCCAATCATGACGCTCAACAATTTATTTTAATTAGATGCAAGCACTCGCTGCAGCGGACTTGCGAGTTGGTTTTGTGATGAGTGGAAAAGAGCCTTAATTTAATTCAAAAGCAACAGTTAAATCGGTTGTTAAAAAAATTCAGTTTTTTTCCGGTTTATTGATTAACCGCCTCACCCTAAGGCCTTATCGAGGAAACAGAGACCTGATAATAAAAAAGAGCCCATTGACCTAACGTTACCATATGAGTAAGGGTTGAAATTAGTCAAAAATTTCCACGGACAGAACATTTTCCGAAAATATCATTGTTAAAAGTTGAAAATTTTCGACTTCAAAATTTTTTCCGGCGGAAAATTTGTGTCGGCCAATCACATTTTACAAAATTCTCTTTCTGTGGAAAATTTTCCTGAGTGGAAATGGGCCTTTAGAGGGGGATTAGCCTTTCTCACGATGACGAATATCCACCATTTTTGGGTGGTATCTAATTCTCGTTAACCAATGTAGACAATTAAAACAATGTGCAAAGCAATTTTTCAAAATAAACTAGCCATTTACAAAGCAAATTTACCATCATTCGTCCAAAAAATTATAAAAAGTCACAGTTATGTCGACTTGTCTCGCAGACTTTGGCTGAAAAACCACCCAAAAATGGCGCTGTGAGAAAGGCTAACTATTGAATTAATTTATTATTGATTTCAAGAAAATTTCATTCTTTCAAATGGAGCACTGCGTTCAGTTCATTGCTAATTTCGTGAATGTTTTAAAATGTTTTAGCCAAATTACGCTTTCAAACATCCTTTTATGCAAATATTTGTGAGTTTGCAAAATGACGTTTGCACGTTTCTCAGAAAAATGATTTGCAATTAGGCCAAAACATTTCACACTTGATTTGAACCCTGCTATCAATCACTTTATGTATTTAACAGTTGGTAATTCTTTTTTAGTTTAATGAATGAGGTGGTCCACACATCCCCAACAATAGGAAGCAATGTAGAAGAGGTAACATGTTTTCTCTTTAAATTGCTCCAACTAAAGTGTTACTTCGATTAGCTGACTATCTTTACTTTGTTCACTTACAGATTGTTTGGAAAAACATGCATTTTCTAATGTGGGACATAGGAGGTCAAGATGCCCTGCGTTCCTCATGGGATACTTATTATGCTAATACGGAAGTAAGTGTTGTTTCAGTCTATATACTGATACTCCAGTAGTTATTGCCATGCTACATACATGGTACAAACTGAAGGTGTACTTTGTCTTTAAGATGAAGTACATAAAATATAGTTTTTTGAATGGCATTTATTCAGTACCCAGATAGCAAGAATGCTGTGTACCTATGTGGTACTTGTTGGAAAAAAGAAGAAATACCATACCGTAATATTGGTACGCGAATTATTGCACCCAGGATTAATTTAAGAAGCTTTAATCGAACTCACTAAAAATTACTATTATACTACAACAAAAACGTTAAAACAAAATAGTAGACATTACAAACAGCAACATGCGACTTAGATAAGAGATTGGCAAACAGACTCACATGTTCTACAGTACAAGGCAAACCCCGCAGGGTAATGACAATATACAGAATATACAGATGAAATATATAGAAAAAAATTCCTGCACAGCTTCTACACAATAAAAAAGTTCGACAAAGATTCGAACTTAAAAAAATCTTTCAAGGAAAATTTCCCTTCGCCCCTCCAACGATATCTAATGGTCCGCCCTTTACATATATATTATTGTAGTTAACTGCCACTTTCCTAATTTTTTAAATAGTTTTAATAACACAAGATCACACCGTCCATTTATATGCACAGTTGTAATAGCATGTATTGTATAGCATGTGTTTTATTTTTCGTTTTAGTTTGTAATAATAGTGATAGATAGTACCGACAGAGAAAGATTAGCTGTAATAAAAGAAGAAATTTATAAAATGTTAGCCGATGAAGTAAGTTCAATTTCGTTTCCTTAATATTTAGCTTTGTATTTTGTGGAATATTTTTGTACAGTATTGTCAGTATATCTGCTGGATGTGACAGTATATATTCTAATATTCATCCTTCTATTGGTGGGTTTCAGACTTTCAGCAAGCATTACGGGGCACCAAATCGGGCTTGAAATTTCCCTAAAACTTCTGGAACAACGCCAGTGAGGTTAAAAATTGCCGTTGAGTGCAGTGGCTCTCTATGGCAATTTCCCCCTATTTTTTTAGTGGCTCTCTATGGCAATTTCCCCCTATGTACTGTGGGGGACAGACATTGTGGGGTCAAAATTTCTGCAGACTACTAATACTACCACTTCTAACAATACCAATTCCCTCAAGATTTACACTACACATGAGCAAAAAACTGCCGTCGTTGTCCACGGTGATCCATGGTATTTTCTTCCCGAACTACGGCCAACTGGCGCGATAAAATCCCAGAGTTTGTTTCAGGATTGATTTTTCTTTCGTCGTTATATTACAGAACACCTAATGTCTGTTCCCTCGGCAAATAAACACCACACAAAAAGAACGTCCCCCCTAAATATATCATCAAAAGTTTTAAGTAAACTAGAAAATACATGCATGCAGAAACCCTCGCCTTGCTGACAAAACCATTGTATTTTCCGAAAATGAAGTATCTAAAGTAGTTGTCATGGTAACACGATAATTTTTTAAGAATATTCTTACAAATGAAAAATCGCCTAAAAATATCACTTTTAATTACAAAATTATTAATTTCCCAACATATATATGTTAGGTATGTTATTATATGTAATATAAGCCTCAATTTAAGGTAAAATTCAACCACAAACGCTTCACAAAACCTTTTTAAAGTCACTATAGTGTTATAAAACTAAACTGCCTTTTAAAATGGCTTTATCGATAAACTTTGAGTTTGCAAATAACTTTGCTTTCTTTTTTATTTAAAAAATTCAATATCATAAGAAAGGAATCAATATTAAAGATACACTGAAATTATATGCTGTTTTGTTTAGTTGTTTCATATACGCAAAGGCCGTCGGGTTTTAACATAGGCAGCCCAATGTTATGGTTGCCTGCCTGCGCGCGGGCGAGGCATTGTATAGTTGTATTATTTCCTAAGGTAGGCAAATTCAATCAAACTAACGATACATATACTTTCAAACAATCCAAAATACTTCAAATATCTTTACATCTACGCTAAACTAATCACGGAAATAAAATCTACGATACTTTTACTATATACTAACAATATTTTAACGTACAAAACAAATTTGTAATGCGAGAAAAATACGAAAAGTTTTTGCATTTTTTTTCAATT